TGTTATTAGGCAGTTGCATATTTATGATTTTAATGTCTCCCTGATAATTGCCCCATTTATCTTTGTGAAATGTCTCTATTTCTGGGAATATACTTTGTCTTGAAACCTACTTTATATAGCCACTCAAGCCTTCTTTATTCTTATGGTTTACATGGTATATCTTGTTTCATCCAATATTTTATTTATCTTTATATTTAAAATGTGTTTCATGTAGGCAGCATATAGTTGGGTCTTGATTTTTCATCCATTCCAACAATCTCTGCTTTTTAATCAGAGTAGTCAATTTACATTTAATGTAATTATTAAAATGATTGGAGTTAGGTCCACAGTGTTGATTATATTTTCTGTTTGTCTCATCTATTTTTTTTAATCCCTGGCTGTCTCATCTATTTTTCATTGGTCCAGGTTCAGAGAGTGTTTTAAAAAGAATTTCATTTTAATTTCTTAACTGACTTTATAGCAGTGCCTCTTTATGTATTTTATATTCTTTTGGTAGTTGTGGTGGAGAATATGTATCCTTAACTTTTCACAGTTTAATTATTGTTAATATTTGTATCACTTCATGTAAATTATAAGAATCTTATAACAACATATTTTATCTCCACTCTGCACTATACTTGTTACATGTATTACATCTATAGATGCTTTAAGCCCCATAGGATATTTTTCTTTTTTAAACAGTTACATGTATTTTATAAAAGTAAGAGGAAAATGGTATCTTTTATAATCGCATACTTTTCAAAAGATCTTCATTTTTTCCAGTATTTTTGGTGTTATTCACTTTGACTATGATGTGCCTAGTTTGTTTTTGTTACTGAGGATTGAACCCTGAGGTGTTCTACCACTGAAGTACATTCATGGCTCTTTTTAGTTTTATTTATTTATTTATTTTGGTACTGGGTATTGAACTTGGGTCTTTGCGCTTGCACAGCAGGCAGCGAAACCACTGAGCTAAATTCCCGGCCCCCCATTTTATTTTTTATTTTGAGGCAGGGTCTCACAAATTTGCCCAAGCTGGGCTTGAACTTACAATCCTCCTGTTGTAGCCTCCTGAGCAGCTAGGATTACAGGAGTGTGCCATTATGCCTGATGGCATTTATTTTTGTTCTTATGGTCATTTTTTTTCATTTATTTTGTTTTGGATTTGCTGATCTTCTTGAATCTGAAAATCTATGTCTTTCAACACATTTGGTAGAATTTCAGCCATTGTTTCTTCAAATACTTTTCTGCCCTATTTTCATTCGCTTCTTTTGGACTTTCATTATATGGGCATTTGATTTCATTCCCCCCCCCCCACAAATTACCAAGATTTTGTTCACTGTTTCTCAAAATTTTTTATGTTTTTTTTTTTTTTTAGATAGATCAGGATTTAGAATCTCAGAACTATTGACATTTTGGGGCTGATTATTACTCATTGTGTGGGGAGGGTTTCCAATGAGTTTTAGGATATTTGTCAACCTATTTTCCTCTAGCATGGCCCTTTAGTGCTGAAAACTAAAAGTATCTCCAGACATTAACACATTTACCTTGGGGACCAAATCCAGTCCCATTGAGAATAATGAGATAAATTAACAGGAATTGTCCAATCAAACACACTAACTCAGCTCCTTTTTCTGTCAACTCTAATCCAATGGGTATATTTCAGATACTTTTTCAGTTATAGAATTATCACTTACTTCTTTATTTTTATGGTTCTTATCTCTCTGCTGGGATGACTTATCAGTTCATTATCAGTTCATTATCAGTTCATTACAAAGGTATCTCCCTTTACTCACCTGAGCAGTTACTAGAGATTCTTTAAAATCTTGGTCTTCTAATTTCAACGTTGTTTTAACACACAAGTCATACATGAGGAAGCCAAAAGATCAGATGACTGCCATTGCAAAGGCAGTTGTTACTCCTATTTCCCAGGATGAGGGGACCCAGCATGTCACACTGGGCACATGGGAAGTGAAGTTGGCCAGAGGCAGAGGGAACGAGGGGGAAATGTGGGCAAAAGACTTTCCTGTGGTTTCTGTGGGAAGGGCAAGGAAGGCCAGGGTAAGTAGGTACAGCGTTGTCTACATAGTTGGAATCATCCTGCCAGGCTCTGGGATGTAGGGACTGTTTCTAATTTCCTGGTGCCTGGCCTCAGGTGATCAGGGCTGGGGAATAGCGGGGTGAGTGCGAATGCCTTGTGTTTGGGGTCTGGGCTTTAGGTTGGCTGGCTTGCCCATGGGAGGGGCCCTCCTGGACAAGCTGCTGTCTCTGGGAATTAGCTAAACCTGGGAGGGGAGGTCCCTTCTAGGGCCAGCAAAGCCCCACGACATCAAAACATTAGAATAGCGAGACATGCTTAATGCAGACATTCACGACATGTCAGAGCTGGTCTCCATCCATGGTCCCCTGTTCTCTGGAGCGTGGCTGGATTTCTGCTAGTGCATCTTGTGATTTGGGGTTGTGTTCTGGGCCTAGTGAGTGCTGTGTTGTAGAGACTTGGGATTCTGTGAGGGTTTTCCAAATAATAGAGTTGTTGTCTTTGCAGACCCTTAACTTGGCTGAAGTCAAACTCTAAACTCCGTCTCCCTTGAGGTGCACAACAGCAGAAATCTCTGTGTAAGCCTCATGGTCTCGGTGGGTTGCTGGGATCTGTGCAGTGCACACAGTTCAGGGACCAGAGCTTTGGGCAGGGTTTATATACTGACTTTGGAACTTGCCCTGTGGTGCTCTCCTTTTTGGGATTTTCTTCCTTATTTTCCAGCTGCTGTGGTCACCCAAACTCTCCTCTGATTCTACAGCAAGCAAGCCTTCAGTTTTCTGACTATTAACTGCCCCTTGGCCCTCACTGGGGCCTGCCTTGGACAAAATGCTATTCTAAGCAAAACAAATCCCAGCAACTCATCCAGTAGCACTGCTTTCTTTCTAGTGTTCAGATCCCACCAGTTTCTGCCGATTTGGTCTCTCTCTGGTGTCTTCAGATTTTTAAAAAAATATTTTGAATATTGTAGGGTTGGTCCAATACAAGCTACTATGCCATTATTAGAAGTGGGATTCTGTGAGGCCTGTACAGTTTGACACGGCAATTTTACAGTCATGTCTTGACTAAGGGGTTGGTTCCAGGATCCCAGATCCATGGGTGCTCATATCCCTTTTTTTTTTTGGTACTGGGAATCGAACTCGGGACCTTGCACTTGCGAGGCAGGCGCCAGAACCACTGAGCTAAATCCCAGGCCCTCATATCCCTTTTATAAAATGATATAACCTGTGTGATCCTACCATATACTTTACCTATGTCTGTACCTGTACAGTGCCTAATACATTGGAAATGCTATATGAATAGTTGTTATACTACATTGTTTATGGAATTATGACAAGGAAAAAATGTCTTCACATATTCAGCAATTTTTCCAAATTTTTCTGTCTGTAGTTGGTTGTATCTGTAGACCCAGAATTGGTGGATATGAAGATTTGCCTGCCTTTTAAAATTTCTCTTTTGGTTTTTTCTTTAATGAGCACCAGTGGAATGTTTTATAGTTCTCAGCCATAATTGGATTTGCAAGCAGGCAAGTCTTTTGTTAATAATTTTTAATTCTATTATGTTATGGTCCTAAAAGTGGTTTGTATGATGTTGAATTCTGGCATTTACAGAAACTTTCTTTGTGGCCTAGTGCATGTTTAATTTTCCTGAATGTTCTTCATGTACTCGAAAAGGATGTGCATTTCCTGTTGGGTGAATTCTGCATGTATTTATTAGTTCAACCTTAAATCTATTTTTGGTTTTTGCTTTTCGTGTGCACGGGCCATCAATTTCTGAGGGGTGTGTTAAAGTCTCCAACTGAACCTCTTGATTTATGTTTCTTTTTGTAGCTTGGCCAGTTGTTGCTCTGCATTTTTGAGGCCAAATTCTTAGGTGCGTGTCTTTTCACGATTATTATACGTTCTTGGGTAATTGTCCCTTTCAGAAGCACCTAATGTCTCTCTATCTCTCCTAGGTACCCGTTGGCGCTCTGCGCTCACTCCATTTGTGGTCTTTACACCTCTCGTCGGTTCTGAGAACTTCTGGGTTATGAGTTGTTCCTTTGCTTTCCCCTCCATCCCTGTCTTTCTCCTGCTGTCCTATGGATGCTGACATGTCTCCTTCCGCTTTACAATTTTCCTTCTACTTATTTATTTAAAAATGTTTTCTATCTCTTCATCCTTTCTGGATGCTTTCTTGGTAAGTTCCCCGATGTGATCTTCCGGCTCACTCAGTTATTCTCTGGCCATCTATCAGGCGCTTTCTGTGAGGAAGAACGCACGGTGAGCCTGCACCTCCGGCAGCTCGCAGCCCTCCTCTGAGTCCAGCGGGTGCCTCAGAGCCCTGCGTGCCCTTGGCAGGCGCGCCCCCTGTCCTTCTGCATCACACGTCCCACGACCAGCAGTCTGCCCTTATGCTGTGCTCATCAATCACTGCAAGGGGCCCTGCCGGCCAGGACCCTCCCCGGGGAGACCTGTCCTCACCTTCCACTTTCAATCACTCCCCATCCTCTGTCCCTTCTCCGAGGCACCCACCACGCCCTACCTGGCGCATCCCGCGTTTTATTCCGCTGTCTCTTTTGCCAGAGGGTGAGGGCCGAGAAGGCAGCACTGTCGCCTTCTTCCGCTATCTCCCCCGAGTCTAGCTGAGGACCTGGCGGGTCGTGCAGCCTCAGTACTTCATTGTAAATGGACTGATCGTTACACTATGGTTTTAAACATCTATTTCGCCTGTAATTTTTAAAAATAAAGCTATCTTGTAATGGACATCCATGTTCCAGAAACAGTGCAAGGGTCTTTGCATTCATAGCATCGTTCTATTATTCATTCATTTCTATGTGTTTTATATGTGATAAAATGTACATAACATTGGTGGGGATTTAGCTCAGTGGTTCCGCAACCTGCCTCGCAAGCACAAGGTCCCGAATTCAATCCCTGGTGCCAAAAAAAAAAAAAAATATATATATATATATATATATATATATACACACAAACACACACACACATGCATAACATAAAATTTACCATTTTAAGCCTCTTTAAGGGTACAGTTCAGCAGCATGAAGTACACCCCTGTTATTGTGCAACCATCCCCACAACCCATCTCCAGAACGTGTGTATCTTCCCAAACTGGACTCTGTTCCCATTGCACAAAGCTATAGTGTTCTTCACACCCAGGTTTCCGCCTGGCTCTTCCTTATAACTGCCTGTTCATGCTTTCTACTCCCAATATCTTCTCTTCTCTGCGGATATGTATTGTATATTTTGAATTTGTTTTCTGTTTTGCTTATTAATGCTGCTTCCTGATATAGACAGAGAGCATTTGCTCTCCTTGGATAGATGTCTTGTTTTTCCTGGTGAGCCACAGCTACTGTGCATGGTGACATGGAGCAGGAGCAGTAGGAGAGCCAGGACCTCACTTGGGCTCTCTCTGGGGTTTTAGAGAGTAGGTGGATGGGTACCCACAAGGTGGAGAATGCTGGTGTTCACAGTCCGTCTTGGTTTTCCTTGATTTCAGGGCTCACGCTACATCCTGGCCAACCCAACCCTGCCAGGCTCTTTTCTGAGAGCTGCCAGTCTTTACTGTGCACCCGCCCCTGTGGATGGCAGAAGCAGGAGGGTGCTCAGGGCCACCCCGCGCTCTCAGTTACTTTTCTTATCACTGAGACGCAGGACCTGACAGTTTAAAGGAGCAGAGGTTTATTTTGGCTCATGTTTCAGTCTGTGATTGGCCAGCTTGGAAGAAGACCCAGAATGGTAGGGCGCAGGGCAGAGGACAGCTGCTCCCTTCATGGTGTCCAGGAAGCAAGAGCCAAGGGAGGAGCTGGGAAGGGAGAGAAACCCTTCTGGGTCACATTCACAGTGACTTGGCATTTCCAACCAGACCCCACCTCCCAACAGCAAGACGGATATAGCAGCCCAATAATCCACTCACCTTCCAAACACACGGGGCTTTGGGGAACATTTTTCATCTGAGCCATAGCAGCCACTGCCATAGACTCCCCACCTCCTCCGGACCCTGGTGCCTCAGCTTCTACTGGCTGAAGGGATGGTGCTTCTGCTCTTCGGTGTCCTTGCTGTTGGGACAGGATGGGAGACACCCATCTAGGGCAGGAGGTGTAGAGAACCCCAGAGCTGCCTCTTTTTCCAGGCCACAACCCCAGGCACTTTGCAGTCTCTAACCATCAACCTTCCTGTGCCCGGGGCTTCTGCAGACATGAGAACCAGCGCCCGGGGTCATCTCATCGTCTGCAGAGCTGCTTTCGTCTTCTGAATGTGTTTTGTTCTGAAGGCTGGGGACAGGGGCATAGGTTTTACAAGGCTGTGCTTGAGGTGGGAGGTGGCATAGGAGAAGCAGGAAGGACTTGGGCTCTGTGTCTCATGGGCGGACCTGGAGAACAGGCGGTGGAGTGGGTTGGAGGTGTCCCCAACCCAATCCCAGAGCAGGTCAGCTTTCAAGGCCGCAGTCCTGGCAGGAGGCAGAGGGTGTCTGCAGACCTGAGATCCTTCCTGTGGGGCTCTGCCTATTAAAGTCTGAAGTTTGGGTCATGTGGTTCTGTAGGCTCTGACCTTGTGTGTTTTGGGCGTATTTATTACACGCATTTATTTTCAAGTTCACGCGTCCACATTCCCAGTCTTCCCTGTTTGCTTCCACTGATTCTTGCTCCCCCTATTGCTCTGCCAGACCCTGCTGAGTCCTAGTCCTCAGCTCATCGAGTTTGTCTCCAAAGGGACTTTGCAGGAAGGCACAGACATGTCTGATGGAATCCCAGTGACTTCAGAGGCTACAGGTCCTTTGATCATAGATCATCTTCTATTTGACTAATTGCTCGTTTAAGAAACCCAGATCCCATGCCAATAGGGAAAATTCCATGCTTTCTTTTAGTTGTACACTTACACACTGACAGTTATTTTCATTACCTTTCCAGTTCCTCTGTGTTCTGAGGACCAGGCCGTTGGGGTAATAGTGTTTATCAGAAGTTTTCATGTTCATCAGCACTCCCTGCCTCTTTCTAATCACTGGTCCCCAAAGTTCCCTGACGGTGGGACGGTGCCTTCTAGCCCACAGCCGCCTCCCCTGCTCCGGGGACAGTGCCCTCAGTTTGTGCTCACTGCCGAGCAGACAGAGGATGCGGTTGGTGCCTCGGAGCCCTCTCAGCTCCTGCTGTGCCGGGACGCTCAGAGCTGGGGCACTCACAGTTTTTGTGGTGACCTGCTGTTTCTGAGGGGGGCTGCGAGTCCAGGAGGTTCTGTGCCTGTTGAGCTGACACGATGCCCCCTGAATACGCGTCAGTCCTGCATCCATCCCCTGGAACCACAGAGAACACTGCGAATTCATCTTGTTCATGAGAGTGCTTCTGATACCAAAGCCAGCCGTGGTAGGGTGTCTCTCTCACACAAGCAGATGTCCCAGCTTCTCCCATCTTCTTCAGGGGATGTGATATTCTCCACGGTCCTAATAAGCCTCTCTTGGGGGAGCTCTTTTTTTATGGTACTAGGGATTAAACCCAGGGCCTTCACACTGAGCGACATCACCAGCCATTAATTAATTAATTAATTAATTAATATTCTGAGGCAAGGTTTCCCTAAATCACAAAGTTGTCTGGGCTGGGCTGGAACTTGTGATCCTCCTGCCTCAGCCTCCCAGGGTGCTAATATCACAGGCCTGCGCCATCACACCTGGTTAACTCTTGTCTTAGAGGGGATCTTCAACATGGTAGCTGGAACTAAACGCAAAGCCACAAAGCAGAGAGTAATTGTAGTGCCACCTTCTTTTCTCTTCACCTTATCCTTGATTAAAGGAACCGAGTTAATGCTGTTTGAGTTTGTGCTCAACTAAAATGCTTTTCCGATGGACATTCTATCCCATGCTGTATGTTTTGAACCTGGGGGAAAACTCTTGCTCCCCCTCAGCAAGATGGGCTAGAGAAAGGACCATGAAGTAGGTGTGCAAAGCTGCACCGGTGTATATACTGGTGATGATGACCAAATAAAATAGCCTAGCGAGAAAGTGCTGTGAAAGCCATGAAGAAGTCTAAGGCTCCCCTGTATTGCTGGGTGGCTGGTTTATTGTCATAAACCCACGGAGGTCTGTTTCAGTTGTGTCTCAGCCCATGGTATATCTGCATCCATCTCAGTGTGGCAACGCATGGGATTCTGTAGGAATACTCTCTGTGACTTCATTCAAGGCACCAATATCCAAGTCTTACTTGCTGGGCTGAGGACAAAGTCCATAGCGCCCGGGGCGACTTGGATCTATCATGCTCTACTTTGTGAGTTCAGTTAGTCAGCTAACAATGAGTCTCCCCGGTTGTATTGCCATCTAGCCCACGTGGCTTCACCAAGTTTACAAGGATGACATGAGGGGCCTCTTAGGCAGTCTGTCCTCTCCAGGATGCAGCATGTCGAAAAATGTGGTGTGATAGTTTGTCATGACTCATTCTTGATGATGCTTGTCTTAGTCACCTTCTCCTTGCTGGGACAAATACCTGACACCCACAACTTAAAGGAGGAGAGGTTTGTTTTGACTTGTGGTTCAGTCCAGGGTCGGCTGGCTCCAAAGAAGAGTCAGCATTGCAGAGAGGCATGGTGGAGGAGAGCTGTTCATGGCATGGTGGACAGGAAGCAGGGAGAGAAGGAGGAGTAGGGGAAGGAGAGAGACCTGTCAGGCCACGGCCCCAGCAACCCATCTCCTCTGACCAGTGTTCCCCTTCCAACATCACATTCAGCTATAACCTCATCAGTGGACTAATCCACCAATGATTATCATGCTCCCATGATCCAGTCACCTCCCCAAAGTCCTACCTATGAGTGCATGAGGCTTTGGAGGGACATCTAGATAGAAACCACAACAATGTTGAACAGGATCCTGGAGGCCATGGCATCTTTCCCAGTGCTCCCAAACCCATAATCCCCAGCACTTCACCACACAGGATAAAGGATACAAGTCACAGCGATTCCTTGAAGGTACATGGTGCAGACCATGGAAAACTGCCAGTGATCGTTTCTTAAACCTGAACCATTAGCCTTTTGATCTGGGTAATTCTTTGCTGCAGAGACTGTCCTGTGCATTGCGGGATGATTAGCAGAATCCCTGCCTCTACCCACTGGATGCCAGGAGCACCCTCTACCCAGTTGTGAGGGTGTGTGTTTCCAGATGTTGTGAAATGCCCCTTGGGGGTAAAATTGTCCCTTGCCTGTGAACCACCAGCCAGACAAAAGAGAAGGAGGCAGAAATATTCAGAACGGTCACTCCTTGCCTCCTGTAGAGTTTATGGATGTGGTTTCAGAATAACATAAGTTTGTTATCTTAATTGTGTTTTGCAAAGGTTCAGATGGACATTTGGTGACAGAGAGTTACTAGGCTTGGATTTGTCCTTGGGGCAGAGATAACTGGTTGAGCAGATGGCCCACATAAAAACAACTGGAAGTAGACTTGGCTACTTGAGGAGACATGATTGAAACCCCGGATCTTAGTGCATGTATTGTTAGTTTTCTGTAACTATAATGAAATACCTGAGGCTGGTTTCTTTAGCTCATAGTCTTGAAGGTTCAGGAGCATTGTGCTAGTGTCAGCTTGGTTCTGGGGATGGTACCACGATGGCAGGAGCACATGCAAATTTGAGAAAGCACAGTGCCAGAAAGGAAGACAGAGCAGGGAAGGGGCCAGTTTTGTTCTTTTTATAACCACTTTCTCCTGAGAACTGGCTCAGGGTCCCCTGAGAACTGTCCTGAGAACTGCCTTCATCTCTTCTGAAGGTAGCTGGTACCTAGCAAGGTCTAAGGACTTCCCACTAGCGTTCGCCTCTTAAAGTTTCCATCTCCTCTTAACTGCTCTGTATTGAGGATCAAATGTCCAACTCATCAATCCTTAGGGGACAAAGACAATGCAACCACAGTAGGATGAGTCTATTGGAGAAGAGCTTCTGGACCTTATTACTATGGTCAGGGACAACAAAACCAAATAAATGGGAACCTCTTAGGTTTCTCTGAGTTTTAGTAATCACTAATGCAGGCAGGTTGGTGATCATGGGAAGCTACACAGGTGCTTTGTTCAGAAGTTACTGTTCTGCATTAGAAAGAGCAATGACTTTCACATACCAACAAGAATAGAGTTGTGCTTTTCCTAGGCTGAGGATGAGATAATAGAGAATCTCCAACTTTCCAAGAGTATCTGCTTTCCCTATGGCCTGGGAGGTAACAGAAGTTGTAAGAGATGAGTCAAAGCCTGTCATTGCATGTCAAATGAGATTATTCATCATTATTATTCTTATTTTGAAAATTAACTCCTCACAGTGGCCAGGGTGTGCAGTGCCTCTCAAAGGTGTAATTCTGCTTTAAAATGTAAGCTGTTTTGAGACAGTTTGAGCGCAAGAATGAGTCCGGTTATAGAAAATGATTTCCCTAGCTTTCCTTGAAATAAAAAATTGCCCAACATGCTTAGGAAACAGGAATTATGGTGGACAGTACATTATTTTCTAGATGGATCACCTTACAAATGAAAGTTCTATCACCCAGTTAATGGAGAAAAATTGTCTATTTGCAGAGAGAATAACTGCCAAGGAATAGAGGGGCTAAGTCTTTTTTTGCCCCCAAAATGGGGGTTTGATATCAATTGTCTTGACCTCTATGTGAGGCAGCTGGGGCTCAGCTGGCAAACTGGGGTCAGGAATCCAAAACTAGGTCAGGAGGGAGAAGCTTCCTGAAGGCTCAGCTGGGGCCTGTCCAATTAGTCGGGCAGACTCAGGACCCTTCCTGTTGCTGGAAGGTTCTTATGATCCCACGGAGCCTTCAGAAATGTGTTTTCTGCTTGGTTTTCTTCTTTTTAAACTGTAAGTTTGTTTATTGTGAAATAAAATATATATGCAAGAAGTACACCAAACAAATGTGCAGGTCAGAGAATGAAGTAGGAGAGCATCTAATCCAAGCACAGAGCATGGCAGCGCCCCAAACCTGCCCCTTAATCACTGCTATCCTTCTCAAATGCAAGCACTGTCCTGGCTTCTGACACTACAGTTAATGGTATTGCATATTTTTTCCTAAGTTGAAAAAGTCTTAAAGTTGCCAAGGACTTGCAAGAGGAATGCAATGAGCACCTGCCTACTCTTCACCTGGTTGGACCAACTAGAAACATGTTGCCACATCTCCTTTATCTCCCCTAAGAAATTCTCAGACATCCTTGGATTCAAATTGTTGGGCCGTCATGTTATACTCAGGCCCTGTTCCACGCAGGTGCTGGACCTGCTAAGCCCTGCTTGGGTCTCAGTGCCCACTTGAAAGTCCTGGCAGAATGGAGAGGGTGGATCTCTTTGGCACCTTTCGGGAGTCCAGGGGGAGTTGTTTGGGAAAAGCGATCCATCAACTCATTGGTGAGTTCGTTCATTCATTTTCTTCTTCCCTCTCTGTTTCCCTCCCTTCCTTCTTGCTTTCTCTTCCTCTTTCTTTTCCCTTCAATTAATACTTTCTGAACACAAGAGGCCTTCAAGCCGAGAGCCCGGGACTCGTTGATGGGCAGGATGGGCCTTTGGCGTTGTGGGTCTGATCCTGTGGGTGTGAGGGGAAAGCCTGGCTCATACACACGCGATCCCCAAGTGTCTACTGAGGAAGGGCAGGGTGCTCTGGGAATTTGCAGGAAGGGCACTCACCGGGCTAGGAGCACCATGGACGTCTTCCTACAGGCAGAGACTTCCACCTGGAAAGATGAGAGGAAAAGGAAAAAGGAAAGGAAAGGAAAAGGCGTTTCCATCTAGAGCTACTCCAGATCCCAAGTTCTTGGTTTTAAGTTCACCAAAAGAGTGTAAACACACAGAGAAGCCACTGACAGAACCCAGGCAGGTAGGTGGGGATCTGAAGGGGGACGTGGCTAGCGTGAGTGCTGTCCTGGAGCTGGGTGTCTGGGAACAGGTGAGGGAGGGGACGTGACAGAGGAAGAGCAAAGACACGACAGGAAGGCAGCGGAGGAAGGCTGAGCCCAGCATCCGGGAGGGGAGGGAAGTGAGTGGGGAGGACAAGCCAGTTTCTGTGGTCCCAGGCTTAGCAGGCCTGGAGAAAAACTGGGACTTGCTCCACAGACCTGCCCTTAGTATTTGGCTTTGGAAGTTTTCCAGATTTAATTCTAGCCTTGCCCGGGGCAGTGGGATGTCCTCTGATCCTCCTAACTCTGTCCTTGAAATCTGGGCTAGTAGGAGCTGGCAGGTGAAGAGGTTTTTAGGAATAGAATCTACGGTCCCCCTACTGTGCACGGATATATGCTTATTACAGAAAATTTAGAAAGCACAGACAAGCAGAAAGAAGGAAAAATTAGGTGGTGGCATTTTAGGGTGTTGTGGCATTAGTTTTAGAAATCCAATTGAATGGAGGGCAGCAGGTTTTATTCCTTCGATTGTTTAGCTGATGGAAAAAACCCACCCAAGCCTGTACTCCTTGCAGGATTGCCCTGCGGCCCAGGTGTAGAGAATTAGCTTATTAATTATAAGGAAAATGATGGAGCGGAGAAGGGACCCGCGGCCCTCCGGCTGGCCGGAGAGCACGTTTGGCGTGGGATGAGATGGAAACGACCTCCTCCTAAATCACCGGGCCCAGGAGTCACCCCTCAGGCCGCCTGCTACCGACACTGTCCCCGCTCAGTCCCCGCTCAGTCCCTCCTCGCCTATTCCCCTCTCTCCCACACGGACATGGACGTTCTGCGATCTCTTCCTTAACCTCCTTAGGAAATCCAATATTTGAGACGTATAATCTTTAGCGTTCTTTTTTCCTGGTGGGGAGACTTATTTACTTTGGTTTACATTCCATTTGCTCCCAGGGAGGATTTGTGATCGCCTATAATAAACTACGCTTTCTCAACAAGGCTGCCAGACAGAAGTAGAAAATAAAACGTAACATTAATGACAATGATTAAAGCACTCTGAAGAGCATCACGTCATGGCTTTAGGGTTTGCTGCAACTGGTGGTGAGGCCGGGAGCGAGGGCTAAAGGACTCCGGGACTCCGCCGTCGTTTGTTTGGAAGGAAATCAGCCCAGTCTGCGGAAATGGACACTGCCACTAAATCTTGCAGGCAGTGGCCTGCGAGGAGCCTCTGTCGGGGCCACAGCAGGAGGCCCACGCTGTCGACAGTGGCTGGGAGTGAGGGGCGTTTCTCAGAACCACCGCTTGTGAACGCGGAGGCAGACAGCGGGAAAACGGGCCTCAGTTTACCTCCTGCCTTCAGCTCTTTCTCGTGCTTCTCCATTCCAACCAGTCAGGGGCTTGGCCGGGAACATGCTGAGGCCTCCCGCAGTCTGTGCACTTCCCAAAGAGGCAGGGCTGGGGTGCGGGAGGCCACGGAGGGGCGGCAGTGTGGCCAGCATTGTCCCAGGCAGTCCGAGAAGGACATAGAACTTTTGTTTTCTGTCTGGACCCCTATGAGATTCTGATAGAACCAGCATGGGGGTGTGAGGTGAGCATGGCCATGTAACACAGACAGAGTCTGTACAGAAGTGAGAGGAAACAGACCCCCGTGGACTGAGCCTGCGGCCCGGGTGTGAGCAG